AAGTCCATTGATTTTTCCAAATGTGTTGTTTAAATCCCTCTTGCTGGGGCAGATACTAACAGCTGTACAGAAAAACCACAGTGAAGGTTTTATGTGATCCTAAACACGTGACAGATAAACACAATACTGACTGTTGGGAAAAGGCAAGGTGCTGGTGGTTTCTATCTTGCTTTGCCCGTGTTTTTTAGCAGAGTTCTATTTGGGACATGCTGCCTACTGCCGTAGTGCAAAGCATCTACTTCCACATGCAGTTACCACCTGAAATTTTCTGTGTTAATATTTTATTAATGCTGGAGGGCAGATAATAGCTGGAGGCCAGCACCTGGAAAATGTGCTCTTGCAAGTATTTGAATTAGCATCCAATCGTTTCAGCCAGGAAGGAGGTGGGACCAGGCCCACCTGTTAAGCCTTTCCAGACCATATCTGGAAATGATACACACACCTGGTGAAGCTCTCAAACACTCCTTTGTGTGTGATCCACAGCCTGCTGCAGGGAAATAGTGGCCGCGTTCCCTCAGCAGCTCAGCTCTGCTTTGTGCATGGAAGGGAGGATGCCCAAAAGCCAGGGATGGCACTGGAGTCGGAGCAGGAGTTTGCAGCCCAGCTACACTGAAGCTGTTCTTACCCGTGCCACTGGCATACCATCTCCCTGAGGGAGCACATCATCCTGCCAGATCTTCCTAATATCTGCCAGTTTTGTGCCACTGAGGGGTTCCTTTATCCAGGGCAAACTTCTTAATCCACACATTCCTATCCCAGCCCCTTTCTATAGCCTCTGCAGCAAAATCTAGACTACAATAGACTGCTCCTATGTTGCCTAATGACAAAGCACAATAGAAACTTTGCTGAAAGGAAAAAAGCCAAACTACCAGCCTAAGTTTAAGCTGTCAACAACTGTTTTCTGCATGGGTAACAATATGTGGTAAGAACATAACGGACCAAATGAATCTGAAGCCACAGGGCTGAAATTACTGGAAAACAAGAACTCAGTTGTCAGTGTTCACTGCTATTTGCCCCAAAGAAATAAATCACTAGGTCTCACTAAATGGCCAAACCAAAAAGTTTAAGTAGCAGCTTATCTGAATTGTTTTGACTTCTACAAGATCTCAAACTCAACTGAGTTCTCCTTCCATGAAATACCACAAGCACACAGATAAAAAACAGGTAGGGAAGCCCATGGACTGCATTTTCCATCCCTGCACTCCGCACAGACATGAAGACCTGGAGGGACTTTGGCAGACTGTCAGGAAGTCACAGAAACTTGGTTTTCTCTTTTCCTATTTTCATGTCACCCCAGAGCCATCTGCTAAGCACCCGAGGAGCGCACTAGACTGATGCTTGGGCAAGCTCTGCTCAGAGAGCAGAAGTTTTTTCTTTTCTGGCTGAGTACTGATGTTAACACAGGGACTTTGCTGCACAGGACTGCAAGCTTATTTCCTGCCTTCCATTTCATCTTCTGCAGTTAAAAGGCCTTTACAGTCAATTGTCTCAAACTCAAGGGAAAGCTCAGACTACAACCTGGAAAATATGAGCTGCCCTGTCCAACAAAACCATTTAACAAATTCTGATTCCTGGCTGCTTTAGTAGGGGAGCAGCATGGGGCTGATCAGAAAAACCTGAGACACTGTATTAAGGTAAGCAACTGACAAAACAGTTACATGCACAATGGTCACCTCAAAGAGCAGCTGCTGTATCAAACAGATTTGATATTGAGGATAAACTGTAAAACTTGTTCAATCTCTATCATGTCTGATTTCAGGTTCAGCATCTGCCCAAGGCCCAAGGAAATGCTTTGACTCACCTGCCTTCAGTTTGCCTTCATCACCATCACTAATACTTGTTTCCTCACTGAAATTAATGCTGGGATCATGCTTGCTTGCTGAATACTCTGGCACAAAAACTACAGTATGAGTCATCCATCCCCTAATGCCGTTACAAGGTATGGAACAGTTCACACAGGCTATGCTTCTGAGCTGTTTTGAATCTTTACATCCAGTAAAGGACTTTTTATTGCTTACAGCTCAGCAGCTGTATCCTAACTAAGCAAAAGACTACCCAAAGAGAAAGTGCACAGCAAAGGCAGCGGGAAAAAGCTCAGTGCTTGAGGCGCTCTGGCTGGCATGAACCTGCTTTACACACAGCTGCCCTTGTGCAACACAGCACTGTGCTGCAGCCCAGCTCACCCAAACAGCTCTTCTGCTACCTTAGCAAAATCATGTCATTGTTAAAGCACAGCTTATAGTAGCCTCTGAAACATGCAAAGCAAGGTACGAAATGTTTCCTTGAAAGGTTAGCATTCTCAGGTATTTAGGCTCAGGCCTATAGAAAGGACAAAACCTACAGATTTTACTAGTATTTTGGGTTGATCTCTTAGATCCTGCAAGAGCTGTTCCACTGCCCCAGCAGTTCTATCATGACTGAGTAAGTTTCACTGTCCTCTGGCACCCTCCTGATAGCCTTCCTGCTCTATCTGCTGCTGGCCACCCCCCAGGAAGATATTCATGGGCACAACTGAAAGGTTAGCATAACTACGTGCATTCTCCATTTTAATGTCACAGCTCAGTTTGGGGAGAAAAAAAAACAAAACCAAAACACCAAAAAAAAACCCAAACAAACCCAAAAAACAAACCCAAACCCAAAAACTAAATAGAAGCACCAGGCAGCTAGGAATCTCTCCTCTCTTCCTTTCCAAGCAAGCCAAGCCCAGCTGCAGCCAGCCCAGCCTGTATGCAGGTACATTAATCAACATGCTGTCCAAAAACTGTTCAAAGATTTTAGTGCTCTAGTGTTGCCAATACAATTATCACTGAGTACAGCCTAACAATGCTGGGGAAATCCTTAGAAACTGTCACAAAATCAGCAAAAATAAAGCCTCTCAAAACTGACACAGCATGCTTTTTAGGCCAGGCAGAGTTAAATATGTGTACAAGGCTCCATACAAACTCCAGGCCCAGCACTGCAAGGCACAGCAGCCGGGAAGAAGACAGCCAGCAAATGATCTCACTGCCTACAGCCACACTGCCCAAGCGTTTTATTCCCTTCCTGACACATGCCAACTCTGCTGCAAATTCCAGCAACTGCTTCCCTTAGGGGGTAGAAAGACAGACCTAGGCTATACTTAAAACTTATATATGTTGTAAGGAAGGTATACACGCTACAGCATTTCAGCAAAGCCAAGTCTGTTGTTCAAACCCAGAGAAACTATAAAAAAAGATGGGTAGGACTGAACTGCCTCAAGGTAATTTCACTAGAAATGACCCTAAACCATACATTTAAGTGCAATTTAGATGTAGCCTCAGGAGGAAAAATGAAGAAAGGTTGTTGGGGTTATGTTCAATTCAGATTTAATCACGTTCTGGCAGGACAACTAGAATTTCACATGAATACTCATCCTGGATTGTATCACAGTATTAAAAACCACGCAAGTGACAGGTTAGTGCAATAACACCAGATGCAACAGAACGAGGAGCTTTTCTACACTAATACGAGGGTAGAAGTGAAAACCGCATCTCTCAATCCTGGAGCTTACTGAAGATAACCCATAGAACCCACAGAAAAAGCTGACAAAATACAACCAGCTTCCAGGTGCTGAGAGCAGTGTCTGAGGGTATCCCCTCAGCAGTGACCCCCACTCCCACTGCACGCACTGCTGCACAACCGCCGAGGGACATCTGAACTGCACCCCATCTGTAAGAGAACAATGACCAAGGAAAAGCATCGAAACGGTTAGAAAAATAAAATACTTTCCTTTTTGTCATTTTCATTTTTCACACAAATCGGAGAACCATCTGCCACTTAAGTCATCTATATCCAAATAAGATTTTTTTTTTCCCCCCAGTACATTCCTACAACAGTTCGCTGCTGTTGCAGCTTGACTAGTCTGGACTGCTCTTACAGTCCCCCAAAACACTGGTAAATCCCCAGTTTAATGAAGGTAAAGAGATGAATCCGTATGACCTGAAGTCACAGTCACAAACTTTAGAGAACCTTAGAGGATTTGGGGCTACTTTTGTAATAAAGGAATACCAGTTCCTTGCAAAGGGAATTGACCTTAAAATTACATTGCTTTTCAGCTAAAGCTGTTGGTGCTTGAATCTCACCTTCAATTTTTATTTCTCCCCAAAATACCTTTGAGCAACCCTCATAGCCTGAGAAAATAAAGTCTCAGTCCCGTCCCTTATTTTCACCTCACCCCCACCCCCCAGTGTGTGTGTGTACAGGGAAGATAAACCTCTATTAATGAATTAAAGACTTAAGAGGCCTTTTAAGCTTTTTATTTTTTACCCAACCAATCTGGAATGCATCTGTCCCCAGATGGCAGCCTGCAGATATTTCTCCCTTGCCCTTAGGGAATGAACTCAAGGATGAATTTTTCAGGTCTGGGGAATCTTTGAAGCAGCATCTCCACCTCTTGGAGGCCAGGAGTCACCATTTCCTCATGACGCAGGAACTCTCCCATTTCAAACACATGAAATGAACTGAGGCCATGTAGTGAAAAATCAGGTTACAGCAAACATCTACTCTTGTATTCAAAAAATCCCCAGTATTAAGTGTACAGCTGTGGAACAATATACCTCCAGAGACGGTTTCTTTCTGGCATTAAAGTCTGTGATGGATAGCAAACAGTCTAAAACCCCTCCTGCAAATTGAAGGCGCTGTCTCCAGCTGTTTAACATCAATGGGGTGGCACAACGGGAACACAGGAAGCTCCCAGTAGGAGCAATTTTCTGCTAACTGGTACTGCTGTACAGACATATTTAGACTACCCTTTCCTACTGGGGAAACTATGGTAAACAAGGGAAGAGCAGCCAGCAGTATTTTTGCAACCACGTTACATTCAGTTTTGTTTAGAACAAGGCTTATCTGCGGGTGAGCAGCAGAAGTCCTAGCGACTCACAAACTCCAAACTGAAGAGTAAACACACGTTTCAAAGCAGCACCTTACTCATTTCTTTGATTTGCATTTCTCTACATCCCATACGGAGTCAAGAGGCTGAGACATTCAGTTCCTCAGAAGCTTTATTTTCATTCAAGCTACAGAAATAAAGTAGTACCTTCCAATTTCCCATCATACTTTCTGCGTATTTGTATGGCTCAGGGTGAGATGCACTAGGATAACTACCCTGTACATACAGAGGAAGATAAGGCTCAAAAACTAGCTTTACTTCAAAGTATGCCAAACCTTACCTATGCGGTTGGCTCCATTTCCTCAATAACATTAATAGGCACAACATAAGGAAAAAAAAAGATCCAAACTATCTATCGTAAGCAAAATCCAATCATTCGTTACAGGAAGTCATCCAAAGAAACCTTTTAGAAATAACAAAACAGTTGTTTTCTACTTTGAAAAAAAATAGAAAAAATAGATGAGTCATTTTTGCTTTATATATGATATATTCACACACATACTTTCAAGTATCATTTTCACTATCATCATACTTACATGGCTAGAGATAAAAAAAGTGAAAATCCCACAAGCAAATTATGCCAAAGAAGTCACACACAGTCATTATCTGGGTTTAGCAACACCTGGAATTCTCCATGGCATCAGTGACCAAAAAAGCAGTGTAGTTTTTCTCTTTATTAAACACTTTTTAGTAAGGCTTGAAAAGTATGAGGATTTAGAAAAATGGAGATGGGAAAAGCACAGCCAGTCATAAACCCCACAAATTCACAGCTAAACTTGTCACGTGGTCAGTACTAGCAAGGAACGAAAAAAAAAAAAGTTATGTTTGGTTAGCAGGCAAACTGATACCAACAGACTGACTTCAGCTTCAGCTAGGATGTTTTTACATTTAAGGCATCACACAAAACAAGTCAATGCTAGGAAGCATAACAATCATCATGTGCTCAGCCACAATTCATGTTTAGCTCTACACATCAGAACCTGCTTTATTTAAAAATCAGAAGGCTAGCAGGGCATCCCATAGTCTTTTGGGAAAGAGCCAGGCAGTCACCAGGCATAAGCAGAAGTGATCATGGGTTTTAATCACTGGGGAAAGAATTTAAGTGCTTATTAAAGGCTTTGCTGCACTGCTAGAGCTGGACGCCTGAAAACAAATTCTGGTGGAATACAAAACTTTAAGAGCTATAAGGCAGAAAGTCTGTTCAAGCAGCTATAGTGACAAGTGTCCTACAAAGATCAAAATGGAAAGTCTTCAAGATTTAACAGCTTCTGGAGCTTTAAAATAGTGATGGAGAAGTCCAGCAGGTGCATTCGATAGCCAGGAATGGGACTTGTTCCACACTGCTCCCTAATGCGCTCTGCAATCCCGATCTCCAAGTCTAGTTTGGATAGACAGGTATGAAGTGAAAAAGGGATAAACAATATCCTTACTGGAGACGTCATTGTCATTTGTATGTTTCTTGTCCAATATGAAAAGGCACAAATTCTTCATTAAAATTTATTGTAAGACCTAACTAAAACCTACTCACAAAAAAAGTTTGCAGAAACCACTGACTGTTAAGAGGACAAAGTAATCTAAAAGCGTTAGGCAGTCTGAAAGCTCTGTGGGTTTAACTATTAGGCTCAACTATTTGGTTTAGTAATTCAGTGCCAGGATGTTCTTAAAACCTAGTTTTAAAACCACCAGGCCCAGACTCAGAAGTAAAGCTTCTTGGAAACAAGGGAGGTCACACATATCAAAGGAAAGAACCATGTCACTACTAAGCTGAAATGCAATGTTTTTTTTTTTTTTTTTTGCTTTTAGTAAGCATCCCATGGAATCCAGAATATTTTTTCCCAGCATTTTTTTAGGAAGAGTCCATTAGGTAGAATGAAAGTTTTAAGCTCAGTCCAAGCTTTGCTAAAAGCTACTATTCCAAGCTCCCAGATTTCAGGTAACATTAAGTTTCCTGAGCTAGAGACAGCCTGAAACAACAGTGCAACAGGACATAGTCACAATTAAAAGCTTTGCATAGCCTGAGACTTACAGTACACCCAGAAGCTGTTGATTCACCATATTCACAAATATTCCTCATCTGCTACCCCTTCTTCCCAGACTGTATTTTGGCACATTCTCACACCTCTTTGAACGCAGCAAGCTTCTGCTTTCTTTCTTAGCTCTGCTGGTTTTGTACTATATAAAGCCACTTCTGAAGAGACGCTTCAGATATTTACTCTTTAGTCTTCTCAGCCTTACTAAAACTACACATTGACAATGGCTACCCATTTAGCTGGAAATAAAACTATGCTGAATACTTTGTACCAAAACCAGATACTTAAATTTAAACATTTACTGCTTTTTCCTTTTATGAGCCTGTGGCTGTTTTATTAATACGCAGAACGGAGAGCTCGCAGCTTTTGCCCACAGCATAAGAACACAAGCTACACCATTATAATCAGAAGAACATCAGTGTGTAGCACAAAGTGGTTTGCAAGCTGGAGAAAACTAGGTTCATGGTCACTTGCTGCTCCTAGCAATGAATTAAAGGCATAGGTTAGATATTTGATAAAGCAAGTATATAATTTAATTTTCTCACAAGTCTTCCAGACACATAGCAATTGTTGTTTGAGCTGTGAAGAGCCTCGAATCAACCTACTTGAAGCTTTCATATTATAGTGCAAGTCAGCTGGCTGCTTAAATAGGCTCAGGCTCAAAAACCTGAGACCATACAGAAAAAACCATCAGTCACTTTTCTAAATGAACACGCTGCTATCCTGAACGCTACTCCAGTCAGTTTTGTAGTGAAATTAAACAAAACCAATAGTATATACCTCTCACAACAACACTCAGTTTAATCTCAACACTCTTCACAAAAAGGGCAGCACTACCTATGTTTCTGAATTCTACTCATTTTAGTGAGCCTTGCCTCAGTGCTCCCAAATTACATACACACTGTGTAACGTTACCACTTCAGGAAACTGATTCACCTTCACCTTTCCACACATGCAAGCATTACTGGTTTATTCAGAAGTACCAAGGCCTTTATAAACACCACTGAGCTTAAGGCTGATGGTACAGAATAATAGAGAAATTTAGTTCAAAAAGCTTACTTTAATTGCAATGGTGATTAGCTGAAGCAGTAAGCTGGAAAACAGGCAGGGATTGATCTATTCTAGTATGAACAGTCCTGTTAAACAAACCCAGCTTGCTCTGCATGCCTGCAGAATCAGGGCAGGCAACCAGTTACACCAGAATCCACAGAAACCAGCATACGAGCAGCCTCATAGCTCTCTCCACATCCAGCACACGTCCTGATCAATGACCAATACTGAAGGCATAGATAGTATCATTACATATAGATGCCAACTATAAGTGTTTCTATTAAACAGACATAACGATCCAGAAGTTAATGTAATACCTTTCTGGTATAGTCTGATACACTATTTACGACATACATTTCTTATAAAATGTGCAAGAGTGTTCAAGTCTATCTTAGCACACAGAAACACCTCAGTGCCTTAATCGGGCAGATCTAAAAGCCTGATTCAACTGAAGCTTTACTGCCACAGTGACTAAACTTCCTTTAAGGAGTTATCACAAAGATCAAAACCCCAATAAGTATCTGCCTTTAAATTTAACTGAAGAAAGGCTACGTAGCCTTGGCAAGACCTTAAGGTACGTCACACTAAAAAAAGTAAGAAATTAGTAATAAAGCATTGATTTTACTGCAAGCTCTGCTTTTAAAGAGTGGGGAAAAAAAAGCCTCTCACATTTTGCTCAAGACAAGAAGTTAACTCAATGGCCTCTGAAAGTTTCCCCCAATCCTACAAGTCAAGCAAACTCACAGCTCCCATAGCAACTTTCAAGCCAATGAGAGTTTAATTTCATTGTAAAACATACATAATAGCAGACTATCTAGTTCCTCATATACTTTTAGACTGTAGCCATGTCTCTAGTGCGCTTTACTTGTACTTCATATAGGAATTGTATACTTAAAGTTAAGCGCTCTTAGTGTAGCTCCTACCTGAAACTAGATGGCTTCCTATATACCCTCGAATTCCCTGGTTGGCACAAACCCATGTCAAAATAGAAGCAACACAAACCATGATCAGTTAAACCAACCACTAAGAAAAAACAGTAGCCACATCAATATAATTTCACTTTGATATACGGTGCTAGTAGATTTATTAAAAGTTTCAACAGACTATAGCTCCAGACTTTACCTTTCTTGGAAGACACTACAACAGAAGCCACAGTAGAGACTGCCTTGTCACAAGAGGTACAAATACTTGCTGTATAGATGGAGAAATAAAAGGACAAATCTAGTTGTCTAAAAGACAATTCACTGTACACATTTTATTTACAGTTTTGTACACTGTCTTAATATGAATGGGACCGCTTTTCTACTTGAGCCATTTTAACCAAAGCAAAATAACCTAAGTAATACAAAGTGTTAAAATACAGCATAAGATACAAAAACAGACATACTATTTCTAGTAAGGAATGTAAATTATGGTGTTACATTAAAAAAAAAATCCACAATTACGTTCAGGAAATCACACGAACAGATCACTGATTTGACTGAAATGCATAAATTTGTAGCAAAGCTTTGATGTTACAAAAAAACCAAAAAATTACCAAAGAATGCACAAAATTAATGTTTATTCCACCTTTGTCATATTCCCAGATTCTTCACCAAATGTTACATGAGCAAAAACAACTGAAATCAAAATATCACTAATGTTATCAAATAGGGAAAACAAATAAATTAATCTAGCAGCCATCAGCACAGGTTACAGCAAAGATGATGCTGTACAAAAAAATTGCTAGAAAACTGTATGCACCATACTCTTTTCCAAACCAGCAAAATGTTACTGCATACAATGCAAATGTAAAACAGAGTAATTTCCTGCAGGTACAGAAATGCAACTTTTCTGAATACTGTGGATAAACAATTTTCTTTTTGTAATAGTAATGTTTCTACCAAGCTATTACAGAGTGGGCCAGGAAAACATTTATGGATTCAGGGGGTGAAGTGTACTAAAATTCTGATTGGTAATGGTTACTTCAGCCAAAATAGAAAAAATTGAACACAGAAGTACAAGACAAAGGCGAATGAGACTTCTCACAAATCTTAGCAACACTTAGATGGAAATCAAATTTAAATGTAGTCCACTCTGCTTTTGAAGAGGCTTTGGTTCAGCTCCCAAATCTCGATTGCTTGACGCAGTCTCCTATGAAAGAATACTCAGAAGGTGTCTTCTTAAACAACAAACCTATTTTTAGTGGTGGAGCCGCTCTTAGTAGCTGTGTCTGCATGGGACTGATAACCAATCACTATCTTTGGAGGAAGTCCTAATCTTTCCTTGTATACTCTCCTGGAGAAAAGAAATAGAACAACAATTTAAGCAAAGTCCTTAGGAAGGAATTAGTAACAGGACACCTGCTTTTAAGGTTTTCTGACACCTTCATGAAAAATAGGTATCTATTTAGAAAATTTCCCAGCTACGAATTAAGGTCTTGAAAGAGGATTTTTCTAACTTACTGCATCTAAAAATCCGCTTACAGTTCTGTATGAACAATGACTTACCTTCATAAAGTAAGACAAACTCTTGTAAAAAAAAAAAAAAATTAACAGGTCTACATAAATGTAGAACACAGGGATTCTATCGCATTCGTGTGAATATCATTAGTATCAGCAAGCAATATTCCCACATATAGAAACAAAACCACTGTGAAGAAGTCATGGCCCATGACAGCAAAACTACTAAGATGACAGTCACCTGAACCAAGTAAAACAGCAATCCCTTGGAACAGTCAGTTTTTGTCACCACACACGTCTCAGTTGCAGACTTGCTATCTTTCCTTTAACTACTGATAAGAAAGCAGGCACCCATTCCCCCAATTCATTATGGTACTGGTCATGGGCAGCTTCCCAACAGGAGCTTTAAGAAAAAAACAGCATGGATCTTACATCTGAAGAGAAAGAAGCTGCAGTACCTGCCTTAGATGTGTTCCTCAGCACAGAGTGAAATGCAAGCCACTAATGGCACCAGGCTGCAAGCTCTGACTAAACCACAGAACAAGCCTGTTCAACTGCAGACTGTTAACTACTTTTTATTTTAAAAGCTCATTCTAGTCATAATGGAGCAGTTTACTGGACCATAGCTTACTCCAATTTTAGCTGCTAAATAAAAGCTTGATGTGTTGTCTTTGGAGTTATGACAACATGACAGCAGGCAGGAAACATAATTTACCTTGGTCATTGCATCACTCAGTTTACAAAACCTTGAATTTTTTTTTTTACAGTTCTCTAATGGGGTCATCTTAGCTCCTTAGTTAAGGGTCAATATAATTCTAAAACCACTCTCTGATGCCTACTAGGTTTGATGCAAGGTTATTCTCTAGCAGATGTGTACCACAGTTCTGTTCGTTCACTGTTGAACACTTACCTTCCAATCTGCACATGACTATATAATAGAATTGTTAGTATAAGACAGATCCCACCAGATTATTCTGAGGCCCAAATGACAGATGTGTCAAGTGAGCTATCCAGTGAGTGAAAAATGTCAGGAAGCTACTACACCTGACAGTTAAAATTTGGCCTAAGATGAGCATGCTAAGGTGGGAAGATAAGTATTTTCCATTGGTTTGCACAGTTTAAGTGGCCTACAATGACTGAATTTAACAGCAAGTAGTTCTGAAGCATCAATACTACCGCACAGGGAATCCACTAGCTTTAGCAATACTTCCTAAACAGCAGAGCACAACATGCATTTTCTGTAGCACAGACTCATAATCCGAGATGACTACTGCTGCCTACTGGAACGAAGACTACAACATGCTATTACACATGTCAAATCAGCCATGAAACTTGGCATTATCTTGTTTGATTTGTACTTCGAGACAAAAAGGCAGCAAAATATCTGTAGAGTTTCACAGCACATCACTGTCCAGCTCTTTTCAAATATAAAAACATCCTTGTGAGCGAGATCTACAGTGCCCTTCCTCTCTTAGTTGTAACCATTACTTTCCTGGGAAAAATCTCACCAGTGCTCTACTGTTACTGCCTACCCACCTTTGCAAATTGGCATGCTGCAACAGAATCTACACTATCTACAGGTATTAATTACAATGCCTCATTGCAAAATGAAAAACTTCTGCCAAGATTTGTGTTCAATTCTTCATTATTTCTAAACTACAGCGAAGGTACTGCAGCAGTACAAAGTTACTAACATAAGCCCATACAAAAAAACTACACAGTAACACAAATAATTTGGCACCAAGTTACTTATGCTTGGGATACAGCCCTGCACAGGCTACATCTGCCTGAAGCGTATTCTCTTAACAAATTCACTGGCTTTAAGTGCATTGTTACACTTCATATATATATATATATATATATAAAAGACACGATCATACTACTTACCCTATATGCGTAACAGCATCCCTGTTTTCACATTCAGTTGTCCATATTGCTATTTTATCACCCTTAGTTCTAACATTAACAACAGCACCGCATACATCATCACTGTAGTCATCAAACGACTCCCCAATAAGGCACAGCAGCTACAAAACAAAGATTAACCATTAAAAGCGGCAGTTCAGAGTCAGAATCCTGCTTCATAAGCAAACACTGTACACAAAGGACTGAGGAATAATAAATATTTTACTGCTTATAGTCACTTGCCATACAGTAATCATTTTCTGTTTATTGCAGTATCTTCTTGAAGTTCCAAACATTACAAGTAAACAAAGTCAGTTGCAGTAGGGTACATTCCTCCTATTTTGAGTTTTCCATCTCTCCTCCTGTCCCAGCAACTGCACGTTCTGAAACATCTGATCATTTATGTAGTGTTGCTTCCCATCCCCATTCTCCCAACCCAAAACCAGGTAAAAATCAAAGGAATTTACTCTTCTTTCTAAAGTATATTTAACACAGGTAGACAAATCTGAAAGATGACGCTTGGAATGGGAAAAGGTTGCATAATTCAGTTCAGGAACATCAGACTGAGTTAGGTCACATCCCTGAACAACATGCGAACTGTGGAACTATATTTAAAATCTTCAGCTTGCAACTTGTAAAATCAGCTATTGTCAGATATTCAAAATGGATAATTTCTTGTGGTTAAGGCAGACTCATGTAGTCCATGCCGAAGTAGAAATCCTTCTGCACACTCAAGTATTAATCTCCAAATGGACACTTGTTTACTTCACTTGAGCAGTACGTTAAATATACTGCCATTACATTAACTTTCCAGAATCACACTGCAACAGTTGAAAATTCAACACACTCGCAACTTTTTGATCAAAGCAGGTCTTTGAGTACCACAAGAGCTGCAAGGGCTGACTTCATCAAGGAAATACAGAAGAGACAAAGCATGCTACCGAACGAATCGGGTATAGCTAACGCATACTTTAAATGTTACACCCAATGGCAGGCTGCACAGAGTCACGGAGTAATGGAAGCCATACATTTTCAAGTTTAAACCGCACACAAACATTCAAAATACTGATCAACCACATTAGTACCTATACAAGCAAAGATGACTGCCACACTCAATAGAAACTACAGTCAAGGGCATTCTTGGTGAATGCTGCGTAACAGGGGAAAAAAGTCTTCTCAAATGAAGTTTACAGTTAAGAATGGTAAAAGTTCATTAGATTATAATAAATATTTGTTCCAAGGTATATGATAGAGAGGGATGCTTTGATTTTTATTGGAGAAAGTAAGTTACAAATAATTACTGGAATTAGAAGTGACAGCGTTGTTTTAGAGCACATATCCAAGTCACTGGGCTATCTGGGCTCTGTGCCATTGCTTGCTGCTAAATAAAAAGCAGAGCTCTCTAGCCTTATGTCTACACAGACTATCTACATGTTTCCAATCCATATGTAATGGCTACTAAGAATCAGAAGAACTCACATAGGCATCTAGGTGGAGAGGCCAAATGCACACAGCAAGACATTCCTTTACTCGTGCCGTCATATTGCCTAGTTGTACAATGCACTCAATCCTTTCTTCAAATCACTACTACAGTGACTAGAAAGACCTTACTTAATAGCTCTGCTATTTTGGACACCTCTGCTTTGATCCTGAAGGCTATTTTCCCCTTTCAAAGGGATGCAATACTTCTTGCCTCTCACACAAGCAGGGAAAAAAGATGAGATCTTTTTAAGACTGCTTTGCACTGTACTGTCTGCAACCCGTGCCCCTAAAACCCGGATCACACTAAATTGGTTTAGGCTATTCTGAGTCAGTTCCTAGACACTACAGTTGTATCCTTTTCTACAACACATTTTCTGCAACCCACATAATCTCTGGAAGTATATTTACCATTAAAAAAAAATACCGGTTTCAAAGAGAAAACAGCAATGGAAAACCAGTATTTTTATAGTGCACATACAGGAAGACTGTGCTATTATTTGCCTATCCCAGTGTTAAGATAACTACAGAAAGAACAAAAATAAATCTGAAACTCCCTTGTTTCAGCAAGACCAAAACCTGAAAACTACTCTGAAAGTATTTGTGAAATAAATTGTTACATTTAAGCAGTTAGATTTGAGAGTCACACTCAACGTATTACTTTCCCAGTAGCTCAGCAGGTTTTCTGTACATTCTACAGGAAAAGTTTAATCTCTCCTGCAGAATTATCTCTATTGCCACCTGTTACAAGGAAGTATTCAACAAAACCCAACTAAACTGAGCATCACTAATGAAAAATCACATTTCAAATACGGCCTGTCAATAAAAACTTAAAGGACACTGTGCTGCCAGGAAGTTAGAGGTCTAGCGGGGTACACAGAAAGAACAAACCAGGTAAAACATTAAATACAAATGCAAGATTCCTCAGTTGCAACTTGTAAGGCCACAGTGCTTACTGTCTCTAGCCAGAAGCGATCAAGGTCACTTCGTCTCTGCTGTTTGTTTAGTGTAATTAGCCATCGTCCTCCTCGCTTGTTTTTTTCATCTTCCCACATGGGTTCAATCCCATCCTGAAAAGAATGGCCAGAAGGTAAATCAGACTTGATCTGTATTTTTCCTAAAGAATAACCAAAAGGCCAGTGATAACTGAAATAGCAACTTAAGAAAAAAACTGTATAGTTTAAGATACATACCAGTCCAGAAATACTACCTCATACCAAAACAAAAGTTCCAAAACAGCTTAACACACACACTTTCTCTAGTGAATTTTTATTTCTACAGAACAATCATAGCTCAAGCAAAAGTCTTGGCTACACAACATTACGTAAAACAGCTGTGGGAACAGGCAAAATCAACCATCCACTTTGCCCCGTATGAAACCAGATAAAATTAGCAGCTACATTCTGGAGTCCTTATTTTCAGTCTTGGACTCAGTGCAACACTGACCAAGTGCTTCGCTTATGCATAAAGATTACTTCACTGAAACAGACACCCTTGGCAGTCTAGCTCAGTGACTTCCTGCACACACAGGGTGAGAATAAGAGGGTTTTAACTGTCAGGGCCACAAAAATCCACACATCATTTAGAAGGAAGTTGCCTTCCCATTCATGCTTTTACCAATGGCCCTGCACTGACTTCAGTGACTCTGGATGAGCTGATCCAGCAAAGCAGCCAGATGCCACTCCCATACCCACCAGCTACACTGCACTTCAGAAAAGTCAGTCACTAAAAAAGCAGGTAACTGTCTAGACAGAGGAGCTCGGTTAAGAACTGTCTATTAAGAGAGTTGCACTACAGAACTCTGACTGAAAACTAATTAAGTGTTCAACATACAGGACGGAGTGGTGTCAGCTCACTTTAAATTTAATACTCTCACTGGCAGCTGCAGAGCTTAAACTACTTCATCACCTTTAAGAGGCACTCTTACGAGGTCACAATTGAAGGACAACAGCAAGAGATTGCTCAGAAGCCTGCAGCAGTTGCCAATTCTGTACCTGTTCTGTGCATTTAAATAATTAAATTATTGCTGATTGATGATAAGCAAACACAGAATAGATATACGTACTTAAACCACAGATCTAGGATTCATGCAAAAAAATACAAGCATGATCAAGATACCCTAGCCTCTGAAGGGCCTTACAGCTTCTTAAAAATATACCAGTAGGGCTTCTCAGTCACCTAAAATATTGTTACCTTCCCAAACCCAAGCATCACCACCTGTTCAGTACCTAAAACTGCTGGGGTTTACAAGCTATGTACTCAGTCTACTGAAGAGTCCCAGCTAGTGGCTGTGTTTTATAAGCAGAGGAAGAACTATGCACCCGTACTTTGGGCATTATTTAGGTGCTCGAATCCAGAAAGGAAGTTGTATGTTAGAAACACTTCAGAGAGGTTAGGATTTAATTTAGAGCTCCAGTTCAGATTGCCACTCCAGCCCAGGCAGGATTTCGCATACACTTTCTCATCAGCATTTCCTATTCACTACTCTGAAGACTTCCTCAGCATGCTTTAAGTGTCAGTGTTGGGTACAATTTTCTATTTCATATGTAAGTAATACAGCACTTAACTGGTGGAATAAAAAAATAATTATAGAAGCATCTGGCTAGTAGTGCTCAAAGAATACCGGAGAACATTTTAGCCTCCCACGGAAGTCAGAGGTTTTAACTCATTTCGAGTCACACCAAATGACAGAGCTGGAAAATCTTTCATATTATAAAAATTATTAGGACTTAAGTATTTGCACAAACATCTCAAACATAGAATGAAGACAAACATAGCAACAGATTAAAATGTACTGTCTGTGAAGTGTATTAAAGCAAGTACTTGCATTTTCAGAACTAGTGACAGCCTGATTTTTCAGAGGGCATGTGTTTGGGTCTTCCTAAAAAAATTTACACCTTTAGGACATTCCCAACCATGTCCCCAAATATCTGAAGTGAAATATTTGGACAGTGTCTTGCTTAGTCAGGAAACCATCCACCAACATCCATAACTGAAGAAAAAAGGTTAGCAAGCATACCTTAAAGAGCGAGTAGTCACAACCAGGCATTAAATTACTAGAGAGCTGGATATGGTTGTATAAACTATTGGAGGGAAAAAAGCAGGATTAAAAACTAAGCATTATTTTAAGGTATAAAATTCTTAAAGAATTTAAGACACAACTGAATAAAATATAAAAATTAAAAATCATTAACGTTTTTTCAGAAGCAACCCTATTTCCTAAGTATTTTTCAGCAGTCTAAAAGCATTAGCTTTAAGATGTTCGGGGCAATTCAGAGAGAAAAAAAAAAAAAGAGTGCATACTATCTCCTCCTCTAACAAGCAGACAGATGCTTTTTTTTTCCTGCACTGTTAAGGTCAGACTTCAGAATACAACCTGCACATATCACAGTAACCAGTAGTCCAAGACCAACTAACATTCAGGCATGGTCCAGCACCAAAAAGGAAATGAATTACTGCAATGTTCTATCAATTAGAAATCAGGCACATGAATTTACAAAGCCAGTTAGATTTACCAGCCTCCCTCCTTTAAGTTTACCTTAATATTTTCTCCCCAGAAGAACACATCTATTTCTCACTCTAAGCACAATGGAGGCATAACTTCTCAATTGCTTGTGACTGATTTTGTACCTTGACTGCAGACATCTAGATTAAGCACTTCTTTTAATTATCCAGACCATCTTGGTTACAGGAGTTCAAAAACTTACCCTTAATTTAACCTCCCATTACATACCCCAAGACTGCAAACTACTGTTTACTCAACAATTAGTCACCCCCGCTGTAGGAATGGGACAGCTCCTTACAAGCACAGAATCCTATTTCCCTCCCTCTGATGACTACACCGGTAAAGACTTATTCAATATTTTTAGTATCTTTATTTCTTCCCTGTTGGTGCTAACGGGTCACTGATGGGTCTTATTATTCCACTTAGAGACACCATCACTCCCTTACTGATCACATCCAAAAGAAGGTAAGCAACAAAAACCTTAAGAACCCTACCACTCAGTGTAGCACATAACACTAAGATCAAATATATAATGCATCTGCTTCACCCTTAATCTCACATCACTTGCCATTTCCTCCATACTTCATCATTCTGGCAGACAATCTTCCCAGCAAGCCACGTGAATTCGACTGAAGCTTTTGGAAAGCACAGGCCTACCTTCAAAGGCTTTGTTCTTGCTGTATGAGCCTAACTGCTTGTGCAGACCTTCAATTTAGAATTAATGCAGCATCTTCTGTAACCTCTAATGAACTTCTTTCAAGGATGCCATTAACCTGCATCAATCTCCCAAGTACTGTGGCTCCAGATTCAGGCACTCTTGCATATCTGAAGTGAGCCAGTTGTCTGAGAATTTAAACAACTAGCAAAATTTGGGGCTGAGGAAGTGACAATCAGTTGGTTCCAATAATTTACAGATTCACATTACTGAGATAGTTACTACACAAATAGAATTTTCTACATGTATGTCATGTACATACAACTATAAGCAGTGTTAATAACAATGTGCATTTGAGGAATGAAGAATTTCTCCAATCACATTTTCTTCAAAGGTTACATTCTACCACATTCTAAAAAATGGGGTAGGCCTCACCTTCAATTTCGCAAACATTTCAGATTACACCCAAAAAGTTGCATTTAATGGAGTACTTTGTTTTTTTTCCGACTTTGGCATAGGTTTTGCCAACATATGCCAGGATTATTACACAGACTGTAAAATCTTTACTTACGCCCAAAAGTCTTCAACAGTATCAAACTTTGAGATAAGACGAAGATTTGCTTGCCAAGTTTTGCTCTTGTCATTTTTAAAAAACCAGAGTGCCCATCTAAAAGAAAGCAAAATAAAATAATAGCATCTAGAAATCACGTTAAAAATAAAATTATTGGCATTGCTATATCCAAACAAATTGCAAATCTTAAGATATTATCAGCATGAAAGTCAGTTCTCATCAACGATACGTAAGAAACTCAGTTCTCAAATCCAACTCTGAAGATCAACAATGTTTGTGTTCCCATTACAAAAATCGTGGCAGACTTGATCAATCCGTTTGGGTAAATATTTCAAATAGTTTTGGACCGTTTCTAAGACTCTAAACCCCTAAGCCTCAGATGTTTCTCCTTGCTGCCACTGCTAAACTGCAATTCCCTACCACAAATAACTGATTATGGTCTAAAAGAACACCAAGTATTCCAACTAGGAGTACAGCTCCCTTTCCAGTAATTTCCTCATAAAAGGTACAAAAGCTAATTATATCACTCCAAAGCTATACATGATGTGGAAGTTTCCTAAGTGCTCACGTACTAGGACAGCATAAATTTAAAAGGGAAGCTGCTTTACGCTTAATGGCAACAATCTCTAAAAAACCAACTGCTTCAAGTTTTTAAATCTGTATACACGGAAGCAAGACTAAATGAAAAAATTTCCATCTGATTTTCTTCATCATTATCTCTGTTGAGTACAAATCTCACCACATGAGGCATTTAACTAAACAGGCTTATTTTTCATTTTGAGAGTTTCAGTAGTGTTGAAATCACTCAGATTAGCACTAGAGTAGGTTTATCTTCTCACAGTCGAGTACTTTAAGTCACCGGGTGTCAATCTATCATTTTGAGACCTTTCCTGACATTCCAAACTTTGTTTTAAAAGTTTACTATTTTCCAGTAATAACTCCACTACCACTTGTAAAGGAGGGTCAGCACCAATTTAATCAAAGTGGTTAGATGAAAAAGGGGAAGGACAGGATTTGAAAACAAGGGAAAATGGGATGCATGCAGCATAGTGCTACAGTGCAGAGTGGTTTTTCACACTTGCTCAAAACTTAGAAAAAGAGCAAGGTGCCAACTGGTAAAACGTTCACTTTAGGGCAGCACCTACCTACCAACACAAAGTACTGAGCACTCCACACCAGTTCTTCAGCTTACTGGGAGAAATTCCTTTCCAGCTGCTTTTTTTGAAGTATATGTATTCTGCTGGAGTCACTTTTGAGCCCGTTTAAAGGGATTCAACCTGTAAGCTTATATCTTTATTGCAGAAAGGTTGTTCAAGTCAAGGTTTTCAAGTGCAAAGCTTCTTGGTAAAGTCCTCACTGTCTCTACGGCTCAGTAAAAAGCTGAGTGGTAGCTTTTAAGACATACCTGTTTTTGTACGCTGAACACAGAATTTAGTAAGAGGGCTTTAATTTTTCCATAACTTTCCTAATGATAACTTTTAACTACTGCTCTTGTTTTTCTTGTTAAACAAGAAAATGTAAGTACCCTCAAGTTTTGTGTGTGTGTGTTCCCCCCCCCCCCCCCCATTAGTGACACACTGGTACAAATTTGTATTTTACAGGGTTTCTTCTGCCACACTTCCTACAGATAATACAAACAGTATTACCATAGACACCAACCACTCATATGATCAAGTCTAGTAAACTCTTTGGCTGATTAACACAGCTTCTACTACTTTCAGTTCCAAATAGGAGAAAAAAAAAAAAGTTGTAATATATGGAGGAGTAAGACTGATAAATGAGAAGTCTTTACCACTGGCACCTTAATTACCCAGGTACAAGGCAGAATGGAATGTTTTACAGTTCTGCTTGGCAGCAACTTCATCTCAGCATCAGTCTCTTAAAACACATCAGACAAAAGCAACAGAAGGCCTCCTTGCCTCCAACTAAAAGGGAAACCATGCTCTTCCCAATTACTTGGCTGCATCATGAAAATTTGCAAATATTTTCAGCTTTCGTAACAACACTACATGAAAACGCTCTAAATAACAACAGGATCAGATTCTACTTCCTCTGCAATCTCACTGTAAATACCTTAAAAAAAATAGAGAACTCTCAAAATGCTGCTAAAATACATAAGGAAAACAAGAGACCTGTAAAGCCACAGGCATTCTTCTATCTTTGGTAAAATTGCAATCGTGCTTCTGTACCATTTACCTGTTTTGTAGTGGATGCTTAATATACTGTTCGGGGCTGGCAACCTCCTGACTTGGTGCTGGCTCAGTTTTCTCCTCTTCTGAAGGCTGAGGGTTGGGAGTGGTTTCCTGTTTGAAGAAAGGAGTTATTAATACATTTTTCATCAATTTTTATTGAGCTATTTTAGCTACTGGAAGTAACTTCAAGAAGGTTGAAGCTAAGAGTTCCTCTAATTCATCTTGGATTAGGGTCTTCTATCACGTCACGGAAACACAGTCTGCATTCCTTTATTCTTCAACATCTGAACAGGTCCTATAATAAATACTAACTGCAGGAAATTATATTCTGCTGTTCAGTGATTTGCTTCCTGTCATTTGTTTCCAGAATCATTTGCTTAACATACTTGTCTTATTTTGAAAGTTGAGAGTTATTTCAGAAGCACACAGTAAGATATGTTATCTAGAATATGCACGTCTAAAAAATTCCCTTCTGAAATTATTCTGGAAATAATTTATTTTTGAAATCAGTTTCTGACAAAGCATCATTGGAAACAGATGTACAGGCCCTATTTACTTAGCAAAATCCGTTATTACAAGTAGGAGGCATGTCTACAATTCTCAGGTCTGAAATCATCTAGAAACCAAACCAGTAAGTAGTTATCTCTGTATCTGCAACATCACTGACAAAGCTTCAGGCACCTAGCAGCAGAATTTAAATGCGTTAGTTCTCAAATTTCAAACTGAAATAAACATAATTACACAGTATTATTTTTTCACATCTCCAGAGACATTGCTGGAGCTGTGAAATATACTTTTAACACAAAGCAGCGAAGTAATGTATTTCCTTTTCATGCAAACCCCGTCAAGCTTGTCATTCAGTTCAAGAAGCCACCGGGTAAGGTTTGAAATTCTAATGCCATTCCTTCAAACCAGGGAACACAAAGCTTTATTGTGAGGCCAAGCATCCCGGCCAGTTACCACCATCTCTCCCTAATCTGCAATCCATGCTAGAATATTAGAGACAAGAAAGGAGGCCTGTAGCTCATTCCCTACAGCTAACACAAAAATGCCGGTACAGCTGGCCCTGTGAAAGAAAAAGCACTTCAGTAATACAAGCAAATACTAACTACAGCAGACACAAACTCTAGACATTCCTAAATGCACCAATACAGAAGCAGGACTTAAAAATGAATTTAAAGCTTGTGATCTTATGAGAACAAAGCAATGTAGCGGTGGATTAAGTAATGGTAAATCATGTAATTAAGGCAACAGTTTACTCCAGATTTCCACCTTACTCAGTTTATCATTGCCAAAGCTGCTGAAAAGCAGAATGTATTTGAAATGGTAACATAAACAAACATTGTTTAACCTCCAGAGTCCCAGCTGGCAAACTCTTCTGATAACAGTTAAAGATCTGTCTTTATAGGAATTTCCATTGTCAATATATTTCTTATTATTAAGCATGGTATGTTTTACTTCAGAGAAGTTACACCTTTATGCTTGAAAATAATGCAGTATGCTTTAGTTTAACGGCTCACCTAGAAAAAAAAAATCTCAGTTCAAATGCTAATTTATATCACATTTAAGAACGCTTTCATATGCTCCCACGTTGGCAGTGAAAAGACTGAAAAGGTTAAGGCCTAACAGGGGCAGTGGCAACTAGGCTAGTGCTTTGATTTACACAGTACAAGGGGCTCATAGTACAACTTCCTGCCTCTTAATAAAACTAAATGATTTCTGAAGATTCCCTAACAGGGAGCGTCACTGACAAACCTACAGAAGAATGCTGTTGAAAAACCTGTCAAATCTCCTTCAGTGTAATACTATAAAAAGCTAAACATATTCAAAACATTTAGTAAGTGCTTCAAATTCTACCTAGAATAAAATTTCTACTATTAGCCCCATTTATTTTTAAGTTGATGGCACCAAATATACATCTTTCCCTTTAACCACGTAGAGGAGCCCCACAGAACAAATTAAGATGGTCAGTGCGCAAAGGCTGTAAAACACACCAAAGCAGCATATCAGTATTTCCTCCTCCATGTTATAATTTGTATTATACTACAAAAAGCCAAGCACAGACAACTGCAATTTAAGTGTTGACCCTTCATGGACTTCTAACTAGAAGAGTTATAGCTACTACATGTGCAAATACAATGAGCATACAGGAAAAATATTGTTGATAATTTGGAAGTAAATGAAGTACTAGCCTTTCTGATAAAGCTTGCTTTCATTCACAATACTCCACAGTTGAGATATCTATTACTTACAATTGATTTACAAATGCTATTACACTGAAGGTTTTTACATCAAATAGACTCACTCTTGACAAATGCAGAGTATCTTTCAAAAAAAATTTCAGCTGAGAATCTCATTTATGTTTGCTCAACAAATAGCTTTCAATATACAAAGAGCTAGTCCTACAGTCTCCCTGGTCCATAAAAATAATAAAAAAATAATAATAATAAAAAAAAAGGCAGTGAGCCTCAATACCTGCCCAGTATACCAATGGTCACCCTTCACATAATTACATGGAAATTCATTTCTGGACAAATGGAAGACATCTGACTCGGCACATATGTTTTAGTTAAGTCACCACAACAAGTCCCTCAAGATATTTTGAAAGCTACCTAACATTAATGAAATTCACAGTAACCATTATTTCAAGCTCCTGTCCAAAGTGGTACATGACAACTCACCTCCAAGGCCCAGCTGACTATGACCTTGACCCAGGATTATGCCACTCCCATCAAAAACTAACCCAGCCAGAAGAGATTCCACACACACACACACACACCCCCCCGCCCAAGCACCAGGCTGCCCAGCTTGGTACAGCTGTATACACCAGAATAAACGTGGAAAAAGGCATCAAGTTGGAAGCAGAGCTTATCACCAAAAAACAGTTTTCTGGCTGGTCTCAAGACAAAAGCCTGAAGTAGCTTGTTTTCATTACCTTTTATTTCCCACTGCCATCAAAGAAAAAAGAAAAAGGACAATTTTAATTTTTGGCTGGTTAATGATATCAGCTCTCATTTCCTTTCATCTTACCTTTATCTCACTGTTCGGACCACCAAGCTAAAGTATTTGTATACCAAAGCATTTTTCATTATTAGTCAAACACAAAGCATCTAAATTCACTAACTGTCATTCAAAGTCCATTTCTGGTATCCAACCCCTTTCCAATTACTGAAATTCTACCTCCAACTACAAGCATGCAGGTTTTAAAAGATTCTATAAATACAACATGAATTAAAGTTATATTAGCCACATTTTACCAATTCACACCTTGAAATCTTGCAACTGCTACACTATTAACTTACTAAAGTCAGACTGTTTCCACCAGCAGTTTCTGGACTACCGAATTTAAAACCCTTCACAATACTTTACTATTGCTCATAACTAATGCATTTTTTTAACCTAAAACTGACTTTACCTCTACTACTAAACAAAGCCACCATTGGGCTTTGCTGCTTTTAAAATAGATGTAATAAAATAGGGTAGTATTACCAGATAAACTGGAAAGCTTCATATGGCCAATCCTACTCAGACACAAGAGAGCACGTAATTAAAAGTGACATTTCTTCACTACCCACATCCTTTTTGATGTAGGAATTTGCTTGCAGAAGTCCATGAAAATTTGCCTATTCAGCATTTAATGACTGCATACCTGCACGTTACTTGGGTTCTGACACTTGCAGATTTAATTGGTGTTATTTATTCTTTCTCCACAGCATGCAATGACCAACATATCAAAGGAAGGTGTGTATGTCACCAGGACAGGAAACAAACAGCACTTACGGTAAAAACTGCTTCATCAGGTTTGTCTATTGAAGAGAACAACTGGCTTGACTGGGTTTCACCGAGTGTTTTCAGGTGCTGCACAGACCACATTCATGTCATTTAATTGTCTACAGAAGTTGTTTAGGAAGTGCATTTGGGAGAGCACAACATTTATGTCTCAAAAAGATGTAACCTAGCACTGTAAGGCATTCTTGGTGAAAGTTTAAGAGAATTAACTAGTGGAGGAGGCTTCCAAAGTTTTCTGGCATTAAACCAAAATAAGTTACTCTTGAGTTTCCACCTTCTTGTTTAGGGTTTCTAACAGGATGAGAAAACTGCAGATCCCAGTTATCAGATGTCTCGGGAAAAAGCATGTCAACTACCTGCTGGGCCTTATACTACTCACAGATCTCTGCTAGTACACTACAGTTAGGATAATTCACAAGGCACAAAATCAAGAGCTATTTATTTCAAAATATTCTGGACAAAAAAAAGGATTTAAACCCACCCACGAGCAAGTGCTGTAGGAAAACAAACCATGTGATGCTCCAATATGAATATACAGAGGTAAAAATTGTATGCAGTATGTGTAATATCAACTAGAAAGGTACCAATAACCACCTGTTACCAATTAAATAGCATTAAGTAGCTTTCCAGACACCAGGACAGAGAAATTTTCTAGGCATGACATAAAGCCTAATACAAAGGAACTATCCTAACTGCATATATTATTACTTAGAACACCACAGACTTTTATAAAGGCAGTCACTATTTGAACACAAACATGAGACATGATTTTAACTGAGTGACATCCCACCAAATTAGAAGTGAAACACATGTACAGGAGGACAAACAAAAGACTGAAGTAGAAGAGTCACACACTTCCTTGCAGGGTCAGAGGGGGACACTGTTTGGTTTTTTTTTGGTTGGTTGTTTTTTTTTTGAAATATGATCTTAAGTTTTAAAAGATGCAAAGAATATTTACAGTCCTTTTGACTTCTGAAAAATAGGTTACAAACACTTGAAAGTACCCATCAGATTTCCAACATTTAACTCACAACCTTATGAGTAGATTTAGCAAGCAAATTATAATACGTAACAATACTTCTGTATCTTTTTCTCCCAGCTGCCTAAGCAGCCTGCCCTTGTGCTACCACATCTCACCCCAGTCTGCACTCTACTGCTGCCTTTGATATTGGAACATGAAATCTACCCATGGGATAAGATGGCTTTCCACATCTAGCATTCTATTAGATCTAAGGCATTCAGACAAGAAAATAAAAACTTCCCAAAACTGCCGAGGAGAACAGTTCCGATGACTCAAAGAACAAAACACCTCCAATCTCTCCATACGCTTCTACTCAACAGACACAAAACAGCTCCAAATTACTGTGAGTACACTGAGCCACTTGTAAAATTCTATGCTTGGTTGTCCATCAGCTGAAAAATTAAATCTGCAGAAAATAGTTTAAAACAAAATTGTATAACGTATGGATGCTCAAGAGGTGAGTCTTCAACCAAAAAGATAGAGTACTGGACATTCTATTTTTATGCCCTATTATTGTGAAGCGTGTACTGTACACAAACTTCTTCGATAAACTGCACTGAACACGAGAAAAAATGACTACAATTTAAAAGATTATTCATTTAATCAACTGTTCCGCACATTTAGGAAAAAAAAATACTTTCAATCAGTTAAAACTTTTCTGCCTTACATCCACTGTGTAAGAAGGACAAGTGCCACTTTCATGCAGCTAACAGAACACTGGTACTACACAGCACACTTAAATCTGTAACAACCCTCTTCGTAACATGAATGCCTTAAAAAGGAACAGGTTTTCAGACTTTTAAGAAATGAGTGACTGCGTTAAGTTTCTAGGTTAAAAATGGTTTCTAAACTTATTTTCAAACTTGACTTTACAATATTTCAGAAGTGAAAACCAAATTTGCTTGAGGAAAAAGACACATTAATTCACTTTTAAAATACCTTTCACAATGCAGGCTCTCTACCAACATCCCTCATTTGATTGTCCCTTTATCCCCTCAAAATTCTAATTAATCTTTACAAAGCTGCCAAAAGGGTCACATTTTCTCATCAAAATTTCCCATGTACTTCCACACCTGCAGATAGTATCACTAAATGAAAGACAACTCAGTTTCATATGCTATTTTTATGTATTACCTTGAAATAAGCTTGACATTTCATACACTGTCTGAAATGTAAATTTTAGAAATTGCTTTCAGATGTTTCTCTCAAAAAATTTCCAACTTGTCCAACATCCTTCCCCTCTTTGAGGAACCTTTGTATTCAGTCAGAAATGTAATTTACAATTTGAAATTTATGATGGACATTCTCAATTATTAAAACAGCATGAATGATGGATTTATCCTGTATCATTTCAGAAAAACGCAATGAGCAAGCAAACATGTTCACAATACTACGGCTGAATACTATACTGATTTCAACCATAGCAAGTCACTGACTATATTACAGCAGAAATACCTACTAATAAATGTCTAAAGTTGAACATGGCCTGCACTTAATTTACATTCTATCTGCATGTCAATAATGTAAGAGAAATACCTCTCAGCCTACACTGAGTTTAAGGAGCTATTTTGAGCTTTCCAGAATTTCAAGGCCCTACACCACTGTGTTTGTAACCCCTTAAGATAACAGTTTCATTTAAAGAAAGTTTGGAGTTCTACCTATTGATGATTTGACTGTTTAAATAAGCATTCTTCAAATCATATGGAACTGAAGTTTTACCCTTGTATCTTAAAATGGGGAGTTAAAGTCACAAGAATTGCATTTGCGCAAGTGTAACTGTCATGAAGCAAAGAGACAGTAACAAGAATCACGATGCCGGTTCCTAATTTGAACAAGGAACGATCAGATGCTCTCACCTAAGTTACTTCCATGTGATTTATACGCACCTAGAATTTCCTGGCTCAGTGTGGCTGTATTTTAAAGTCACCTTTGGTAAACTACTGTTTACTAAAGCATTACTATTGGTTTTGCTGTTGACTTTGTGGACTTTTGCACGGTGTTATCTGATCACATTTAATTCTCAAAGGCTACAATATGAGCATATTCTAATACAACACATTTCTGCATATTCTCACAAATTAATCTAGAATAGTCTTAAAAAGAGAAACAATCTGGCTAGCACAAGAAAGAGCTTTAACCTGCCAAGGTTGCAGAGGCTTAAGTTTCCCCTGCAGTGGAGGTGTAAACCACTGTGCAACAGGTCTGTATTTGCTTAGAATAACCTTGCTTTTCTTAGCAACTTCCATGGGACTCCATACAGTACTCTAAACTCAAGTTTCAATATTCCTAAACAGTTTCAAACATCATTTTCCAGCCTCTTAATAAGACTTAAAATGTACATTACATCTGAGAGCATGAACACAATAGAAACATCACTGATTTTAATAGGAGCCAACACGTTTAAAAAAAAAAAAAAAAAAAAAGACACATTCAGTTGTGCTTTGTATTTCCTGAAACACATTTTCACACTAGAGAAGCATCACGGATAACATCTCTACAAACCTAGGTCCAGATTTTGAAGGTCAGCAACAGAATGGCTTCCCTATGATCAAGAGGCAATCCAATCCCTAACCACACATACAATTAAACTGTTTCATTGAAAAGCATGTAGTATTTCCACAACATTAAGCATCTATGACCTCAGTCACTACGCAAGTCTAGCTTTAAGCTTAGGTAGAAGTCTGAGCAACCTAAAAGGGCAATAAACAAAATTTTTATTATTTAAATTAATTTGAAAACAAGCAAGCATAGGTGATATTTGTTTCCTGAAGTCAAGCATACTTCAACTATGGCAGAAGATTCAACAGCAGCATTAAACTACTGTGAGTGTTGCCCTACGTTCTACTTTTACAGGCTCAGCAGAACTGTTTCTCACTGCCTGGTGAACTGGATCTGGGAAACGGCATGGCAAAATCCACTGTTTATTTTTGGCTAAATTAGTCCCCGGATCTAGCTCAACATGCAACCTCATAGCTTATGCAAGAACAATGGAGACAATGGTGCAGAGATGGGCTTATGCCAGCACCACAGCCAGAAGAGCCACAAGCCCATGCCTCTCCAGAGTCATTTCTATTTCCTGTGGCCATCAGTATTTCAAATTACTTATCACAACCCCTGCTAAGCTCCACGGTCATCACAAAACACTGAGCTGACAGGAAGCTCTCATCTTCAGATACGTGGGCTACTGCTCAGAAAAATCATCTTTTGGAGGGGAAAACAAGTGTTTTAACACAGTGACTGGAGAACATGGGAAGGATGCTGCTGGTGGTCCAGCTCAGCGTCTTAACAAGTGACATTCTTCTGGGTCAAAACTGCTAGCTAAGCAATTTATAAATGCTGACCAATTTCAATCTCTTCCTTGTAAGTAAAAGCGGTTTCATTTTTTGTTCACAGAAGAAAATCTTAAGAGGAGGATCAATGTACCTTACACAAAAGGGTAAAATTAATCTTTGTTTAAAAAACAGTGAAGTGGTTTTCAAACTTCAACATTTTTTGTGTAAATGTTACAAAGCCTCTCCAAAACACACACTGGCTGTTTATTCACATCGGTAAACAGCAGCAAGAAACTAGCCTTCCTCAAGTTTCCCATTTTCTTGAAACCCTAACACACAGTCTTCTGCTGTCCACTCCTCATGATACGCAAGCACGTGGGATTAGAGTAACAACTCTACTTGGACCACTTCCAGTTGCTTCAGTTCTTTATGGAAGCGCAGGCACGGACAATGTTTATAAAATAGCGTATAATAGAATAAATATAATTTAATGCCTAGAAAAAGAAATAAGTACCTAATTATCGAGAAAAACATAAAAAAACTTTGAATAAAAATATCACTTTGATCCACCAAGATGACATAAGCGGAAAGGGCCAATTTTGTTTGCAACACACTTTGACTCTTACCAGCCGCGCCGCTTTCTCGTTTCGGCCGCCAAACTCCTGAGCAGCGGCTCCGCTACCGCACAGACCCGCCCGGCGGGCCAGCTCCCCGCTCGCCAGGCCTCCCTCCCTCCCTCCCTGCCCGCCTCTGCCTTCTTTAAACGCGACCTTCGCCGCCGCCCGGCTGCCAGGAGGGCGCTCGCCGCCCGGCGAGGAAGAGCCGCCCCACGGGTGACCGCCGAGCCGCCCGCGCCGGCCTCCCCGGGCGGAAAGCAACATGGCCACCCCCACCGCGCCACATGCGCCGAGGAGCCGCCCGCCAGGCTGCCGGGGCCGCGCCGCCGCCGCCCTGGGCTGCTCCTCCTCGCCGCGCCTTCCGGCCTCGGCCTCCGTCCGTCTGTCCGTCCGTCCCGCACCGCGGGGGGGGGGGGGCGCTGGGGGGGGGGGGCGGCGGGCGGGGCGCGGCACAATGGGCGCCGCCGGCCCGCCGGGTTGGCTCCCTCCCTCCCGGCCGCCCGCGCCCGGCGCGGCCCTGCCCCCCGCCCCTCGGCCGCCCGCCCGGCCCGGCGCCCCCCGCAGCCGTGTGGCGGTGCCGGCACAGCCCGCAGGCCGCTCCCCCCCACCCCTCGCTCCGTCCCCCTGCGTGCGTGCGCCCCGCCGCTCCTCGGCCGGGCCGGCGTCCGCCGCTCTTCAGCCGGGGGAGCCGCGACCGGAGGAGGAGGAGGCGGCCGCGGCGGGACGAGGGAGGCGGGCGGGAGAAGGGAATGAAACACTCACCGGTTCCACCGTCGCCATCTTAGATCGATCTGATGGCGGAGGCGCCGCGGGGAGGGGAAGGGGCGGGTGAACAGCCCAGGTTCAAACCCGGTTGGCCGCCCGGCGGTCACGTGGGCCCGGCGGCCGTTTGGGGAGGGGGGAGGGGAGGCGCCGGCCCTCGGGCAGCGGGCGGCGCGCGGCGCCTGCCGGGAGCCGTAGGCGCCGGGCGCGGGGCACGCCGGGAGTCCCGCCCCCTCCCGGCCGGGCGCCGCCGCGTGGGAAGAGGCCCCCTGGCGGCGGCGGCGGGCGTGGCCGGGGGCGTGGCCCGGGGCGGGGCGTGGCCTGGGGCGGGGGGAGCCGCCCCCCTCCCGTGGCGCCGCGGGGGGCATCTGTCAGCGCACCCGGCGCCCTGCGCACCGGCTTCTGGCCCCTTTCCCCCCGCGAAAAGCAGGCCCGGGGCCCCTTTGGTTCGCCCGTACAGGAGGGGGGCGGCTCGAGTGAGGTGGTTTCGGCTTCGAGCTGTTCCCCCCGGGAAAAACTACCACCGGCGTCTGAGCACGGAGTTAAACCCATGACAGCTGACACTCACTGCAGGCGAGTCCGGTGTTTCAGATGACGTGCTTTATTTGTTTCATTTAACGTGGCCTTTTGCCCATTCCACATTTAATTGACTTGGTACTCGGCCTGGACCGGGACGCGGCCAGTGACCTACGCTCACCAGGCAAAGGAAGGCAGCGAACAGAGCAAAACCTGCCGCCTCTCAACCCTGATGGCCTGGAGGCCGCTGCGGTTTGGCGTCGGGAACACCGGCACGGCCAAAGCACGGGGCTGCCGGTGCCTGGCTGTGGTCAGGCTCCGTGCTGGGAGGTGCGGGATGGCAGGGAATGAAGCCAGGAGGTGGGATGTCTTCCCCCGCACGAGGACACTGTAAGATATGATAAAAGCGAGAGGCACTTCCCATCTCTCCCCTTCCCAACTCCACGGGAAAGCGTCTGTCAGCAGGGGTAGACCCCAGCCCATCCATGACCTCCTTTTTCTCATGAAAGGATGCAAACATGGAAACCCATGCCACCCTCAGCCACCACGTCTGATTTCTTAGGCCTGTCAGTAAAGCTTGTTTGAGGCGCGTGGGAGAGGGGCAGGGAGAGGTGCTCTCCGGCCAAGGAAGGATCAGACAGGTTTGATGATTAAGGGTGGTGAAGCTTTGACCCTTGTGAGCAAATTGCCAAGCCCTGGACAGCTGGTCCAATCATCTACATGAGGAACTCGGTGAAAGCGTGCTGCAGACCCCTCTTGGCTCATGGGCCCCGACTTCCTTCTCGTACTACAGGGAGCAGAAGGTGATCCTTGGCCAGACCCCTTCCCAGCACGGAGATACAGCGCAGCCAGGGCGTGCAGGTAGGGCAGGCACAGGCGTACAGCACTACCAGCTGAGCGCTTCGGGTGCTGGCAAATGAGGCGCAGAAACTCACAACTGTTAAGCATGTCTGTCCGGCTCAAAACAGACTCCCCCCCCAATAACTCAGAGTCCAGAATTGTACTTGGCTCTAAGGACATGCCTGTACAAGGGCTGCACGGGCACCGCACCTCTCCTGGACAGTTCCAGACACCGTCAGCTCCCGCCCTCCTGCGCACTGGGACGCTGTATCCCTAAGCCCCTCTGGCAGTTTAAGGCACTGTGAGGCTCACCTGGGCACGCTGTCCTCTAGCCAAACGTCTAGGGCTGGGTGGGCCACGGAACATTTGGGGTTTTATGTGCTGTCACGCCTGCACATGAGCTGCCATGCGGATGTGTCTTCTTCCCTTGGCTGGGATGTGTCTGAAAGTAGACACAAGCTTACATTCAGCTTTTGTGTGTCAGTAACAACTCTAAAGCTAGTTCACTAAAAAGCTGTTTCTGGGAGAGCAATCACGTCTGTTCCTATTTGCTCGGAAGACAGTATCTCAAAATACAGCTTCCTGAAAGGTGAAGCCCTCTCAAACAGAGAAGGCAAAGATAGAAGGGCTGTTATTTTAAAACCACGAGGCCTGAACACTTGACACTGCTAAAGTTTTGCTCTGCTGTTTCTGCTGTCTCTGTCTCTTTCTACCACCAGTTAGAATTATATTTCTGACCGTAATAACTACAGCGGTTGCAGCAGCGACATTTTCCCCAGCCCTTGGCCCATGATTAAATGAATTAGAAGTTCTGAGAAATTTATTCCAGCCATTATAGAAGAAAACTATCGCTTTGCTGTGTGCAAATAGTAGGGTGCAGCCCCACAGAAATCAAGCATAAAACGAGACCTACTACAGCTGAAAGCTTTGATGGTTCCACAGGAGATCGGAAGGCTGTAGCGGCTATCTGAATTGCCACAGCACTCCTAATTTACAAAGTAAGATCCTTAAGCAGTATATTGGAGCTGACATTTTTGACTGCTGTTCATAAGGAAAAATGACACCTGATCAGATGAACAGTAGAAATACAGCAGTAGAGGAGGGGTAACAGTATGTTTGAGCTCTAAGTTGGTTCCATGAGAAAAGGCTGCAGCAGTGCAGAACTCCTGTGAGCCTCCAGAGAGAAGCATTTCATTTTCCTTCTGAAATGTTCCTGTCACAGAAAGTCTGGTAGAGGATCTGTACATGTATCCATTCTGCTTTACCTGCTAAAGAGTTCGCTAGCAAGCAGGGTGTTTTCAGGCTTTGAGATCAGATTCATGCCTGCACATTCATCCAGCATCCCCTCTTCACGGTGATCTAAAAATGGAGTCAGAGCATAAGGAACATAGGGTTTGTAATTATAGTGGTTAAAATGCTCTCAGTTCCCCCTAGAAATCTACTCTTTAAAGCTCTCTCCCTTGAAATCACTTTCCACAGTCAGGACAGTATTGCTCATCTCATGACAGAAAGGAAAGAAGTTACATTCATGAGAACAGAGGAAGTTAAGGGAGGCGACAGAGGGATTGAGATGCACCTTATTCAGCACTAAGTTTTAAGGGAATCAGGTATCTAAGGAAGGTGTTGGGATGAGGTAAGAGAAACAGCTGTTTAGGGAGAAACGTGTGATTGGAGATAAATATCCCTGATGCTTCAAACAGGTATGCATTCCCTTATCTGCCCCAAGCAGGTGAGTTACTCCTTGGAAATGCAACTGAGACTATAGAAGCTACTTTTCTCCACATGTAGGTTGACTCCTCAGGGAATTCAGTACATTCGTAAGGCAGAACGTCCCTCTACAAAAGTCACGATGATTCCTCTAAGTAGATCATTCTTATCCAGGTGGTCCACTAGTTCTATTGACTACCATAGTTTCTACTGATGTGCCAGGGAGAGACAGCAGACTTCCTGCCCCAGCGTCTCAGGCGCCTGCCACTACCATGGAACTCTTTTTAAAAACTGACGTCCCAAAAAAACTGTAGTTACACACACCTGTTAAAAATTTCCATCTGGTCCTAGTGGTTTCTTACTGTCATTTTATCCGTTTCATCCATTCTCTCTTCAAAATCCCTTCCATTTCCAGGATATCCACTGGTGAATACCAACTCAAATAGTTTATGAACTTCTCTGCAATGGCCTTGTTTTCTTTGAGTACTCCTGTTAATACCATGGTTATCAATTAGTCCAGCAGACTTCTGGAAGGCTTCCTGTCCCTAAGGATTGAAGAAAGATTTATTATTAGCTTTGATTCCTTTGGGGGGCATCCCATCTGTTTTCTTACATTTAATCTGCAGGAATATGTGGGTGTTTTCTACTTTTTTCATTTCAGTATCACTTCATCTTTTTATAAAGAAAGCTTCTTGTTTCTAATAGCTTCTTCTAGACTGTTGTTTACCTGTACAATCTTCCCTTTTGCCCCCTCTCAAGCCTTCCTTAATAACCTAAGTCTGTGTAAACCTTAAGTTTCTAAAATGTGCATCTTAAAATAGCTTCCTTGACGCCTCTAAGAATTTAATTTAGCTGCACTTCTAGAGTTACTTTTTAACAAACTCTCTTATTTTCACATAGTTCCTCATTTTGAAACTGAGGATAAATTTGCTGAACGTTTTGGCTGCTGCTGCTCCTGTAACGATACTGCATCAAAATATGTTAAGCGGTTGTCGCAGAATGGCTCTTCAAATATGAGATTTCAAACCAGATCCTGAATGTTACTCAGGGTGAAGTCAAAAGCTGTCTATCTTCTTGTGGGCTTTCGAACAAGCTGTTCCACGGAAGAGACACTGAAAATATCTAAAAAGTCAGTCTCTGCATTTCATCTAGGTGTAACATTCGTACATTCTACGTATGCAATCAAGTCTCCTGTTCTGCTGTGTTTTCTGCCCTTGCTGATCAACTTGATCCTTCTTGGCACTTCATTATTAGTAAACCAGACCAAATATTCGGTTTGTTAATTATGGAACAAGCCAGTAATTATTTGTACTCCTCTAAAATCTCCCTCATTAGGCTCAACATGTCAACTTTTGCAGATATCATCTGATTTCTAATAAGTTTGTTAATTGGATTTGATTTAAAGAGCAGCTTTTCCTAAAGCAAAATGGTTTTAAGGGGAGGTGAGCTTCTTGTCACTCTGTAATCTGGCCAAGACAGCCTAGAACGTTGCCTGGCTCAGTAAGTCCTACAGGGGCTGTGGTACTGTGAGACTGTTACTGGAAGATACAGAGATGCAAGTAAATCCACATCCACGGGTACACTGTGCCTGCAGAAAAAGTACTGGGAAGGGCTTATGGTACTCAGGCAAAGGCCTTTGCTTCATGACTTCAAGATTTTTTTACAGGACTCCAGACAGGGGATAGATATGTGAATGTTTTAATAAAAAGTATCTATGACCGGCATTCTCAGTACACAATCCTGCAGAGAGGCCATAGTCTCTGAGCCAACAGAGTGGTGCAGGGTATCCTATTTGTTGTTTCTTTACTACTAGGAGATGGAATAAAGGTGCCTTCTACTATATTTGTTTGAAGATCACTGAATGGCCATTGGTTATAATGAAAATGTATTGGAACAGTAAATTTTCTGCTGTATTTTTTCTGCCATGGAATTAATTTTAGTGTTATGATTTGATTTTTATGTAACAAAGGCAGAGAGTTAAATTAATGTTTTATCTGCCACCTAACATCTCTAAAGAAAAACATGAAAAAAATTTATATATTACATGTTATATAATATAAATATATTACATATATTTATAAAAGGTTCTTAACTGTTTATAATAACATTTTATAAAATAAATACCAAAATAAAAGAACTGGGACATATCTTCCCAGTAATAAAATAGTGATATAACAGAAATTAAGAAAGAAAATATTTCTCCCTATGATGTATAATGTTAAACCATGTTATGATGGCAAAATAAGAACATAATCTATTAATTTTGTGCATTCAGAAAGTATGTCAATACATGCAGAAGCATTATTTTTTTGTCCAATGACATACCCTTCATTTTATCTATTTTAATAAATTTGGTTCCTAGTAATTCTTTACAGACTGTTTAATGTGAATACAGTAATTAATAAGCCTTCCTACTTATTTGCCTAATGTGCTGCCAGATGGATCCAGTATTCCATTTTACTTGTTTGGCAACCATGCACATTCTTTGACTGCCTGTTTTAATCCTGCCTTTAAGTCTCTTAATGTAAGTAAAGATAATCCGTCCAGAATCCTCTTCCTCTTTGATCGTTTTATCTTCAGCTTCTTTTGCATTTAACTTTGTATTTTTATTCTCAATGAGCCAAGCATACAGACCTGTATTTTACAGCTTTGAATGTCATTTCACTGAGAAGAACTGTGAATGAACGTTAACCACCAAACGATACTGAATGTCATATAGCATTTGGCTATTTCATTTTTCTTTCACAATACAGGAATCACAGCATGAAGTCTCCTATAAGACAAGTATGCTTTCGAGCAGTGATTAATAAGATAGCCGAATATAGTGCATCTGAGCTCAGAACACAGCCCACCTTTTTACCATGCAAATAGGAAGTAAGCACGTGTTGTGATTTGGTACATGTTTTTCTTTGGTTCCTTGAGTTACAGAGGCACAAAGCCTCTAAAGATAATATCAGAAGTTATCTAACAACTTATAATAGCAGTGAGAGGATTATGAGCTGCTGTAATCTTTTCTTCGAGTCACTGACACACATAAACAAGATCCTCGGAAGTGATGCAGCTGCCTTGCAAGTGATATCTTCAAACTGAAAGGAAAATTAAGATAAGAAGGCAAAGAAGTATCATAGATACATCCAGAAAATCACACTTTTTGAAGTTATAGTGGAAAAAAAGAAGGGTCTGAAGTAAAGAAATGTTGAATATCTCTGCTTCAGTAACCCTCGCACGCTTCAGGGCTCTACCCGTTTTCAGTGTGAATTTAAGTAGTTGTTAGGAACAGCTGTTTCACGCAGCAAAGTACGGCATCAGTCAGGGGTGTGCAAGTACAAGCTCTAATTGATCAGTACACCTGTATCTCACTGAGCTGATGGGAAATGGAGCAGATGACTCACATCAGTAATATAACACTTATAGAATCACTATGTTTTATATGATTAAAAATCTGATCATAGTTAGATTTTGTTGATTTTTGGTGAAAAGGATCTTCCTTTCACCACACCCAGAGAAAGCACGCTTTGAATTAGCTCCGAGTAAATCTGCTCCAGTCTAAACTGTGGCTGTAGTGGGCCTTTCTGTAGCTTAGTTTGTACCTCCACCAATGGAAGGAATACGAGTGATGCAGGGGCTTACAATATATAGTAACCTCTTCTGACTTACAGAATTAGACTGACTTTGAAATCCCACATCATTTTTCGTTACAGAGAAGTGGAGACCGGTATTTCTTTAATGCAACTCTGTCCATTTACAAAGGACATTTATAAAGTCTTTTTTCTCTCTGACCATGGAAAGACTATTTTGCTTTGACCACGGGCTTGCCTTTTCTTCCGGGTACTGTTTCCTACAAAGGCTCTCTTTCACTCTTATTTTCCAAAATCACGCTATGTATTTGTGTTGTGGCCATCTTTGAGACGTTTGTCTCTGGGTCCATTTGTGACGGTTTTGCGGTTTCTCTTTTTTCCATGTACATACAGACACACACAACCTACATAACTGTTGCCTTTGGTAGGAGAATCTTGGTAAGGGCCTGCACCATCTGGCCAAGGCATAATAGTGCACATTTGCATGTGGTCTAGCTCCTGGGTGGTATTTGTGCATTGTTTCAGCTATCGCTAAACAAAGAGGCATTTAATTGTGTCTTCAGTGAGCCTGAACAGAAGACAGCTACTATACCCACGAGCTTCACTGAGAAAGTGAGGTTGCCCAACCCCCACTACTGCAATGTACAGAAGCAAAGTGAGGAGGGGGGACACGAGCTAAGGCACTCTCTTAATTAAGTAATGCCAAATTCAGTGGCCATTTTCTTCCTGACCAGCAGCTGTCTTAGCTGCCAGCTGCTCTAGCCCTTTTGCAGCAGCTATCTGACCCATGAGACATTGCCGACCTCTCCTTCTGCCCTTGTTTGCTAACCCCACGCACTCCCAGCCTTGCATCACTTTGGAGAAGTTGGGAGGACAGCGGGAATACAGCACTGACATAAATCAAGGCTCGTGAATGGGCTATAAAATTTCTGACTCATGCGCCTCTGTGTGTGTCCGTCTGTGGCACAGGGGGACAGGCAGCTAGAAAGCAACATGAAAAGCCTGACAGGGACAAAAGAGCTCTGCTCAGGGAAGGTCACAGCGAAGGTCAGTGAACTTCCCTGGTGAGGATGAGTGTGCCACCAGATAATGGGAAATGGCAGTGGATGGACCTCTGGGAGCCGTGAATCGCTTCACTTATCCAATCTGAAAATCAAGGCCAAAGTGGAAAACAAAAGCATTGAAATACCACAGAATCCACATAATTTTTACTGTGGGGATGATAATACAGGGCCGTTTAAAAGTAAAAGCCATCACGATGACAACAAAAAAAATCTTAGGTCAAATCTTCCACAGTTTCTTATTCTAGACTGATCCACAAATGCAGTCTGTGCTCTTTCCAAACACCGAGGAAGACAAGTACGCAAGTTTGTTAATTCCTCAATCAGGGGGCTCACTGTTCTTTCATTTGCATATATTTTTAAATGGTTTAATTAATATATGCATCCTTGGCTTCTCCGCGTAGGAAGGGAAACAGCATGCTTTTATTCTGCACATCAGAAACGCAGCAAATAAATGAAACTGAGTGACAGAAGGAACCCTGCCTACTAGTTAGAATGGGAGTCCTCTTTTTTCCTATCCTGCATCACTGTCAACCACTACAAAACAAGCACAAACATATACTAATGTTGTCCTAGCAAGGATACTGAAAGACACAAATAGGAGTAAAGTTATGCTCAGACATGAAGTTAAATGTGAATTAAATACTAATAAAATTTAGTAAAGTATCCTAAATTATTAAAGATGATTATACTGAAATATCATCAAGAAGCAGATGATGACATCTGAGCGGAGAACACTGGATTAGATCAACCAGTATGCTTCAGGTTTTTTATACCATGTCCGTGACACAAAGTACTTTTAAACTCTGCTCAGTGAGGTAAATGATGTCTGCAACTCCTTAGGCTTCTTTAAGTGGCACAAAGCATCAACTAAAGCGCACGGAGCTACCTGTCTTGCGTTGCTTGACAGCTTGATTTGTTGGTTACCTGGAAAAGGAACACTGATTTTCCATAGGCTGTACACAGTACAGTTTCTGCTATCAACATGGATCATTGAGGATTGATTCTGCCCGTTCAGTAACATTTCGCTTGAAGAAGGTTAAACCAATCCTTTAATAATGACTTGGATTTGGAATCTGTGAAATGACAGTCTGTGAATGTGTCCTTTGAAGGTATTTCATGGTTTGGCAATTGGTTGCCTGCCTTCATAATTTGGACCTAAATGCTGTCACAGCATGAGCTGCATGAATCAATACGTAGCCATTTTCACTTGTTGAAGAAAATAATAGTTGTCATCTTCGTATTTTACAAGCATCTTAGAAACGTTTCCTAATTCACTCTCACAGTATTATCCTCCTACACACAATAGGCGGATACAAGTATTACCAATACTAGGGAAATGAAGGTGAGAACTGTCAGAAAGACAGGTGCCCACCCACAATTACACTTCAGTAATAGCATGGCATCAAATTCTTTCGGTTGTTTGACCATGTTAGTGGAAGTGTTTATCACACAACAAACAAGGATCAGCTACTTTGTTATCTGCCACCCTGGTCCCGTAATCAGCTGGGCGACTTAGCCACTTTTTACCAATTATACTGGCATAATAACAAGAACGTTTATATGAATACACTTATTCTGACAAAGGAATAGGGTGTATGTTTTTCTGTTCTGGAGTTACTAAGCAGAAATTTTCACTTAACCTCTAAGACTAGGAGATATAGAAATTTTTTTTTTTTTTTTAATTAAAGATGGGGCCAGAAGACAACAGCAAATAGAACACAATTGAAGAAAATACTGAGATTATAGTTTGGATTTTGACTCACACATTCTGGGGAGTTATCCGGATGCCAGGAAATGAGGAGAATATTTTGTGTACTAAGATCAGAATACGGATTGCTGTAGTTTCATTGAAGTCAATGACATTGAAGCAGGAAGGGAGAATCTGATCCTGCAAAGTTTTGACTGAAATCACAGGCTGTGCCTGCCAGCTAGTGGGAAGACAACTGAGATTTAAACACTGAGTGGGATCGCAGCACTAATGGCTGGATCTGGCAAATATGTGCTCTGAAGTCTTTGGCAGCTATTCCCTACTCAACAGGCATCTCTCCATGTTCTTTTAATAAGCAACTTCCCCTTGATATAGGAATCAGCGAAAAGTGTCTTACAGTGGTATTACGTTAGAGATGTTTTAGCACATAGTGACAACAGCTTTGACATCCATACTCACAGAACATAAGCAGAGTTAGCTTTTTAGGCACAGGTAGTATATTTTTTGAGATCAACCCAGGTAAGTGGGAAAAAATATAACGTATGTATTAATCATAATTATTTTTATGACAGATCATTGGTATCCAATCTTTCTCTTTCCAGGAAAAGCATCAGCATCCTTCCTGTGATAACGCCACCATGACTGTGCAGCTTGTTTTTCTAATTTTAGTTACTGCCTTACTGAATGCTGAATTTTTGACGGTTTTCCCCACCCCCGCCTTCAAACGAGAGCTAAAAATAGAGCCAAAACCCACTGTCACAAACCACCCAGACAGCCCTGCAGCCCAACCCTGCCCTCCAGAACACAGAGGATACGCTCGGCAACGCGGGGATGCAGCCTCCCCGGTGGAAAGCACGGGAAGCGAACCACGACCTCCCTCCTCCCTGGCCGATGGGAAAGGCAGCGCGGATCCGGGAGCCCGCCCTGCCCCCCTCACCTCCGCCCCCCGCCTTACCGCGCCGCCGGCCTCGGCCTCCCCGGGAAGTCGCGGGGCTCTGAGGGCACCTGCGGCTCCGGCCGCCGCTCCTCCGCGTCTGCGCGGAGGGGAAGGCGGGGAAGGGGAAGGCGGGCGGGGAGGCGGGCGGGGAGGCCCCTGAGGGCCGCTCCGCTCCTCCCCTCCCCGCCTCTCCCCGCCCGGCGGCACCTCCGGGCGGCGGTTCCTCCTCCCCCCCCCCCGCGCCGCTCGCCGCGCCGCGCCTGTGGCAGCCCGGCAGCATGGCGGCGGTGGAGACCCGCGTCTGCGAGACGGCCGGTTGCAGCAGCGAGGCCAAGCTGCAGTGCCCGACCTGCCTCAAGCTGGGCATCCAGGGCTCCTACTTCTGCTCTCAGGTGAGGCGGCGGGGCGGCGCGGCGCGGCGAGGCGGAGGGAACCGGCTTCCCTCCGGCCGCCCGGGCCCGGCCCTTCGCGCCCGGGGTTACCTCCTCGCCCCTCAGGTCCCGGCGAGCTTCGGGGGGGGGGAGGGGGGGAGCGGGGTGTGTCCGTGGTTTGTCCCCACAGAAAAGTTCCCCCCGCGTGGGGAAGAGGAGGGGAAGGGGGGAGTTGGAGCCTGTGGGGGGTGCCGGGCCGGCGGGTGGGGCGGGAGCCCTCCGGCTCCTCGTGGGTGGCGGGTGATGGGGGGACTTCGCTGCTGACGAGCAGCCGGAGCGTTCGTGAGAGGGTGCGTGGGTCTTTCGCTGCCTCAAGGTTTGGGTGGTCCGTGACCCGTGGCCTTCCCCCCCCCCCCCCCGTTTAAAAATAAGGGCTTAGTGGGACAAAATGAGACGCGCTCATCAAATTCCAGCGTGTGCAATTCTGTGTCTGCATCAGCTCTGGCTCTGGAGTTGCTTGGCTTTGATAAACGCCGGGAGACTTGTTGCTCTGAAAACACATTTTCTGTTTCCTTTAAATACGTGCTTTTGGCAAAATTATTTGGTGCTCTTCCTTTTTTTTTTTTTTTTTTTTTTTTTACCTCAATATCTTTGTATATTTTACTTTAAGGGTACTAAACGGGGAGATTCAGGTTAGGCCAGTTGTCATAGAACCGTCAACTCTTGTTAAACATACTCTAGGCCTCACTGTCCTCACTTATTGCCACAGTGGTAATATTGTTTGGCCCATACTGATGGGTGTTGAGTGGGATTTTTTGTTTTGTTTTGGGTTTTTTTTTGTTTGTTTTGTTTTGTTATTTTTTTATAATAACTTTAAAATACATAATAAAATACATAGCTTAATCCTTTGAACTTTTTGTATGTGTAGTTTTTGTCAACATCAGGGAGGACATATGTGTTTAATTCAGAGATTAACGATGAACTTCATTGTCAGAATTATAATTCAGGGTAAAATCATTCAAGTTTTGTAGATAAATTTAACAAAATCATTCAGTCACACCAGCTAGATTAATTTACTAATTGGATGACGCTTTTCTTGAGTCAGGATGTAAACTGATAGTTATGGTTTGCATAGGACTAGGGGAAAACTTCCCACATGCGTGTAACACACCCACTGCATGGTTTCTGGTACTTTCCCCTGAAGCCTCTGGTGCCAGGTGCTGGGAGTCAATGCTGAATTAGATCGACTGCAACTGAGAATTGTTCTGATGATTCTGTACCTCTAGTTCCCATGTGATGCTTATAGCCGGTTTGTAGGATTTGCTCTGCATTTTACTACCCGTTTTGACACGTCCGGTGTAAAACTTATCATAAATGCATCTTCAGCATACACAAATATTAGTTGGTGATGACAAAACCATTTGTTAGCAGACCAAACAAAGCCTACGTGAGGAGTTCTGGGAACATCTTCAATCCCCTCTGTTCTATCCCCAGCTCGGTTAATTTTGTATAGGATGCAGAGATTCATGTTATCTATATATTAAGTTTAATTCTTTTGAAGTATCTGCTACTCTCGTAAGGTAAAAGGGGAATTGCCCAAAATGTTTATTAGCTTGTCAAAATAGGCTGCTAGGTAACTGGCTACATGCTTGTAAAGCTGTCCTGCCTAGAAAATGAAATACTGAACTGGGCATCCCAGTCATCATACTTCCAAGTGACCTTGGATGTGCTGTTCCTCCTCGCTGTCCTGATCAGTAAAGAAGGTAAGCATAGTTATTCCCCATATGAAAGTTGCTTTGAAGGTTTTGGGGCGACACATGTTAACAGAAGGAAATTAATGGCAGCTTGTTTTCAAGACATGCAAAAAAATGTCGTGCACCAAGAGAAGAGTCCCTGTGTTCAGCCTGCAGCTCGGACCTTCAGCTCCGCTTGGTGCCTTCTGTGGGGCCCAGCACAGGCTGCCCCGAGGTTCCAGCTCTCCCCATCATCTGGTGTGTGCGAGGGAGGAGGGTCACTGCAGTGCTCTGCTGGTGTCTTGTGAGCACGGTTTGGAGGGTAGGTGAGGTGCCGCTGACAGCCTCACTGACTGATTAAAGAAGCATGCGGTAGGCGAAGGAGTCTTAAAAGCCAGGAAATTTCCCCTGAGCTTTCAGCAAATATCAGCTGACATTTCTGGACTGGTTAGCATTTGTGAAAGTTTTCCAAAGTTCTCTTTGGTGGTTTTCCTTCCGTTGTGGTATTACATGCATAAATAACTGTTAGATAAGCTAGGAGTGGACCCAGGATGTTATTCCACTTCACAGCATGGCCTGCATTATAGCTGGCACAGTCCTGTTCCCTCCCTCCAGAGATGAAGGTTTCTACCCCTTCCATTAAGCTGGCCCTGATTCCTCGGTGAGCCGCTTCTGGGGTTTTTAAGTTTTCTTTTAATGGAGGAAAAGCAGTTGCATTAAATTTTCTGCTAGTTCAGCTCCCCAAAGCTGTGCACTGCGGGATCAGAAAACGCCGGTGCTTCAGGAGGATACTGCCAAAGGGCACTTGCCCACTGTGGCCCGGTCTGGCATAGCCGTAAAGCTGGCCCATCCTTATTGAATGCAGCAGCGTTAGCTACGGGTATGCAGGTGCTTGCTCTGGGCTGAGTGCAGGATGGGAGTGACAAGCTACCTGGTGTCTCTTTGACAGGTAAGAGCATGTGTATGGACGTGCACGCTAGGTTAATTAATTTGCTTGGAAGCCTACGATGGCTTGTTCATACAGCCAAAACTCCAATCAGAGCTAGAACCAAATTTGTAGGAGTTTATTTTCTCCAATGCTAAGAATAAGCAATAGAAAAGTGTGAACTACTGTAGAAAGGTAACCAGTCTGGAGCAAAGTGTTTGGATTATAAATAGCAGCATACAATTTGTTAAGAAATGCTAATGCAGGTGGTATAGGACTGAGAATCTCAGTGTAGTGAGGAGATTGATTAAACATTATTTTTTGTCATTGCATGCTGAGAATCAAAGTTGTCTTTTCAGATGGATCGTATCAAGACAGTGGTTTCTCCAGTTGTGTTTCTGGTCATTTATTTTTTCCCCCTTTCCGCATCAAAAAGAGTACATCTCAACAGCATGCGCTGAAAATGATACTCTGAAGTAATCTGACATCCTCTGAAATTCCTTTGAGCCAACACTTTCATCTCTTGAGTGTTGTGCACCTTGGAAACTGGGTACAGCAGTTGAATAACAGTGGTGCTGGCAGGTCATGGGTGGGAAGGGGGAGCCAAGGCAGCCAAGCTGTGGCCTAGCAGGGAGGTTTTGAACTGGTAATGGAGATGGGGTAAAGGTGGCTTTTAGTAGCAGGGGAGCTCTGAGGTGGTGTGTTGAACTCCAGCATTATTTTTTTTTATCCTTTAAAGTGGAATGAGAGGGAATATTCTGCTGAGAAAGCCTGTCTGTTGTTAACCTTTAATAAGATCTTTATTTAGGCTAGTAAATCAAGTACTTTCAGTGCCAGCTACCTCTTTTCACTGTCTTGCTTTCTCTTTTGTAGAGACTTACTACAGTGTTGCATGTGTTTATCATCTTAGACTGAATTACTGTATCTCACTGTATCTTCTCAATGTGGAAATAACACAGATGCTCAGCATCACATCTCAAGCATGTTGTTCCGCTTACTAAGATGGATTTGCTATTGTGAAATCTGCCTTTATTGATACACGTCACTTGTGTAAATTATATGTAGTAATACATTTACATTTCTTCTATGCCTTCTACAAGCTGCTGAATGATACAAGAGGGAAAGTAGTAACTGTTCTCCAGTTATCACTTTCATATGAGCCTTCTAATTGTAAATTGATCTTATTAATAATTGTGTTGCTTTTATGAAAACTTCCTCTCTTGTACTATTTACATCTGTATAAGTGTCTTGGATGAAACAGAATAGTCTGAGGTTTTCTGTGTTGTGTACTGGATGCTGCTGTGGGGGCATTTACCCAGCCAAATTCAGAAATACCTATTTCTAGCCACAGACAGGAAGCATTCTCTTATTATAAAGTCAGTGGCCTATGCTGCCTTTTTTTTCTCTGAGATTTGGAGGCCACAGATTGCTATCAGTATAGTAGTCCTAACATATTCAAGGAGAACGGTTGTCCCTGCCTGCTTTGTGTGCCCATGTGTCATCGGTCCCAACAAGGCCCAGGTATATCAAGTGATCTGGTTAGAGAGTCTGTTGTGGTTTGAGCCTGGTTGGCAGCCAACCACCACACAGCCACTCTCTCTCCCTTCTCTTCCAGCAATAAGAAGGGACAGAGAGCCAGACTTGGGGTTCGAGATAGGACTGGGATGGGGAAAAAAATCCCCCTTTATGGTCACAAGCAAAAGGCAGACTCATTAGGGGAAGAAAAAAGAACATACGTTTATTATAGACATTAACAACACATAACAGAGTAAGACAGTGAGAAGCATTGCCACATCTTGAGAACACCTTCCCCCACCCCTCCCTTCTTCCCGGGCTCAGTTCTTCTCCCGATATCTCTACCTCCTCCCCCCAGTGGCGCAGGGGCAGGGAATGGGGGGTGCAGTCAGTGCTGCCACTTTCTCCATCTTCGGTGGGGGGAGCTTCTGGAACTTGTTCCCCCTGCGCCATCGTGGTCCCCCTCTCACAGGAGAAAGTCCTCCACAATTTTTCTCCAATGTGAGTCCCTCCCACAGGCCGCAGCGTGTCCTTACACTGCTCTGTCGTGGGTCACTAACTTCCTCCGACTGGATTC